AAAAGAAGTTAGTACCTCTAGGGCGTAACCCCATTGGATGGCTGCTAGCCGGCGCAACCTGGCTGCGGGACCGCGGGGTAAGAGTTTAAGGGGAGTTGCCCACCCCAGTGAAATTACTCTGTGGGATAGTGATGATTGATAATTTTTTGGGGAATCCTGATTAAATGCTTATCAGGAGGAAACCTATCGTTGTGTAACCAACGAGGGGTACTGCCGTTAAATAACAATGCGGTGGGCCGTAGTCCTGGCCCGATCAGCCAGGCTATGGTGGGCCAATATGGAGATCTAGCCTTTCTGTACTAGACTGCAGAAAGAGCTGAGTGGATACTAAGTATTTGTACATGCTTATGAAGATTTGATTGTCAGGGATTGTTTTTGAGAAAGAAGACGATAGTGCCTTCAAAGGTCTCGGTTAAGGCCCGCGTCTCTAGTTTTAGCCTGGACTAGGGACACCCAACGAAAAACCGAAGGTTGTCTAGGACCAGGGAGAGGACGATTGGAAAGGTCTTTGAAACTTATGCTGTCAGTGTCCTAATATCTGGACGGTAAGAGACCCGGGTTAGAAACCTGGCAGCATATAGTTGTGGAGGCATGGTTTGATGGAGGCCTCTACCCTGTGTTGGTCAGCTAATCGGATTGGCTCCTCTTTCGTCAGCTTTTGGAGTGCGGATGAATTTATAGCTTTCTGATTTGGCAAAGCGACGGGGACGTCGCTTAATATAGTCTGGTAAGCTGTCGGCGCAAATACCCTTACAAGGGTATCCGCCCTGTTTTTTTTTGTAAGTAACAGAAAGCACTTTTGGTTTGAAGTTGAAGTATACCGCGCTAAGCGCGGTTGCATCTGTAATTGCGTTGACTGGGTGGTTGACCACAATAGCGAGTGTGTAAGCGCGCAGGTTTAAGGCGCCCGTGATTCTTTTCTGTTGTTGATCGTAAGAGTCGGCCCGGGACTCGGTCGTTTTGCTTAGATAAGATTATTTATTATTTATTTTCGATTAAGCAGGAATTAATGATATTTTCTGTTGATTGGTACTTTTGACCGAGTCGAACGCGCTTGCGGAGAACGACCCCGACGACGGCATCGGCAACGACGGCGCGACTTTCGTGCGGTGAGTGGGGTGTCGTAGGATGGCGCGTGGGGTAATTATGGCACGGTATAAGTGAACCTGCGCGGGCACTGAGAGCCGCGCAGCCGTTTTATTGACCCAAAGCGCCGCGTCGCACCGTCTTATATGACACCCGACGTGTTTTGGTCTCAGGCTTGGGCTTAGCCCTATAGGTTACGACATTGGACTGACACTACGAAGGTTCGGGGATCAAGGTTGGCAGGCGTTGACGCAGCAACAGCGGAGCATCGAGGAGGAAGCCGATGGGATTGAGGGCTGTGAAGATATCCCCTTGGTTTCGTCAATGACGGCGTTCGAACGGTGGTGGCGTTTTCTAAAATAATTTTACTTCAGCGTTGTATTTTTTTTTGCATATATACCCCGGCGGGCTTTTGATTTGGACGAGACGCCGGATCTAATGGCCGTCACGACAGTCAAGGACCTTGAGTGTGCGTCTCTTTCGGCGGGCCCGTTCGGGTTCCTTATGGTGGGGAGTGATTGAAACCCCCCACAGATAGCCGTCGCGGCGGCCGAGGGCCTCGGGCGTGCGGATCTTTTGGTTGACTTGCGGATTTCTGCGAGTTCGGAATGCTGACGGATCTTCTTTACCCCGCCGGTCTTGAGATAAACGGACCAAGGGGGTTTAACGTATGTACAAACCGGTGGGTGATTAGCCCACGAGGTGGAAGAAACCCTTAGTGGCAGGGACCCCTTTGTGGATGTGAGTATGCCCGCGGGGCTTTTCCTCCGTTTCGGGGTTCAAAGTCCTTATTTGAATATTTGCTACTACCGCAACAGGTCGGCGTCGGGCCGTTTTCCCTGGGCCCGCGCGTGGGCCCATAGCAGGCCTGCGTTCTTGGCTCTGCGGCTTGCTATGAGAAACCGGAACGGGGCTGTCTCCCGAGAAAATTGAAGGGGTGGTGAGGTCTGGGAAAAAGGGGGTGGGCCATCCAGTGGCACCAGGGCCGGGTTTTTGGGCCAGCCACTAGGCCTCCCCACCGATCCCCTCCCCCTGCGAGCTCAGTGGGGGAGGGGCATGGACCTGGTCGGGCGGCACCGGGCAACCGTAGGAAGAACCGGTAGTGCACTGGGTTGCCGCAAAGCAGAATAGAYAGGCAAYGACGGGAATGGGTAACACTGCAGCAGSGGGCTGGGGGAGACTYCCTCGGGAGTCACGAAGTAGTACCTGCSTGCAGACCGTTCGTCGGACATGGGTATAGGGGCGAAAGACTAATCGAACCGTCTAGTAGCTGGTTCCCTCCGAAGTTTTCCTCGGGCCGGCTGGCGCTGCAGGGTAGACCGCTGCGCTAAAATGCCAAGCGGGGAAGGAGCAGTGGCTGTCGGGTCGGGTGTTGGAGCAGAAAGGAACGATAGCGCAGAAGGGCCGATGATCGGGGGCACTGTGTAGCAGTTGGGCGTTGTGMTWACGACGACGGGCGGAGGGACGAGCATCARCGMGGTGAGCCCAAGCGGAGAAGTAACGGGCGGCTGGGCACTGCACAAGCAACGACGGGCTAGGAGGAAGGGGAGAGGATGAGGCCAGCGAGACTGGCCGAATGTGGGCATGGTCCAAGCCGGGTGCATACGGGGTAGCRGGGTGACGAACGGGTGGAGTGGACGAACAGAAAGACGGGACGAAGACAGACAGTAGGAGGAAAAGTGAATGAATCAGGACCGGAATTGCGTCCGGGTACGTTCAAAGGTAAGGACGCAGGAGCAGGGCTATGGCGGACAGGAGGATGCGCGGTGCGCTCGATTCTTAACAGAATGAAGCCGGGTAAGAATCTAGTTCGAGGTTTTAAGCACGGGCGACCGAGATGGTAATTATAATTCTAACAGGAAGTTAGTAGATTTAGAGTTAGTAAGGAAAAAGGCTCCGCAGAACTATRGCGGAGAGGGAAGGAGGCAGGAGTGAAAGTTTTGAATCTCACTCGATCCTCGGTGGATTCGAGTGAGATAAGATACTAAACTACGGTTTTTAGACAGGGCGACCGTGGCTGTAGTGTTAGATTTAGTGGAAGATTAGTGAACAGGAAGTTAGTGAGAAAAGGTGGTGCGCGGAGGCACTCGAAAACGGATATGGCCGGGAGCGAAGGTCGAATATCTCGCTCGATGCTTGGTGAAATCGAGCGAGACAAGACYCGTTTTGGAGGTTCTTGGACATGGTGAGTTAGGTAGCATAGTTGGCTTGGTCASTAGAGGACTGTGTAATGAGGTTTGAGGAAAGATAGACTGCGAGGAGTAAGGGGGAAAGAAGGTGGGTGGATTTGGACTGGGAAGTGCGTTAAATACATGCAGAATAAGGGAAAGTGCAGCAAGGGAGAGCGGGGAGATTCAGTCCGRGTTTGCCTTTCGTACCGAGAAAGAGGCGCGGGGCCGACCGCGCTGTGCACAGGGAGAGGAAGCGAGAAAAGAAAGGAGGGAAAAAGGGATACGTACCTGGCCTCCCTCCGAGCGGAAGATTCACTCGAAGCTTGCTTACCTTGGGGCCGACCGTGCGGCTGAAAGGCTTACCTGTTGATGGGGCCTGGCACACTACAGCTCGGGACGGATCATGTTGTGTTGATCCGCTGTGCTGGGCTGGAGAYAGGGCCGAGGACGACGGGCTGTCATSTCACCAGCTGAAGCCGCCAGGAGAAGAGCTGGCCRGCTGCGAACTTGAAGATTGACCGGCGTRCCCCGCAACCTGTGGGAACCCACCCGTGTCTGACGCTGAGCTCAACCTGYGGGTTGGAGTGGCTGGAGTTCAGCTACG